AAGACAAAAAGGCCATTGTTCAAAAAAAATGTGTTCACTCTTAAAGTCTAAAACTCAGTCCTCAAAGGGCACAAGTCAAACAAAGGTGAATGGTGTGATCACCAGAGCAAACCTGAACGGAAATGAGCTTTCAATTAGGACCCAGAGACCATTTGAAACTTTTTTTTTACACAGAATACTGAAGACCAATCAAGAATGCAATAAAAATAGACCCTGTGAAAGTGTTTCTGACTTTAGGACTGGTGACCACATGTATTGCGGACTGATTTATTTAATGGACTCTGTACGTTTTAGTGCATGTGTGACTGTTTTTCCAGTGCTGACAGGCAGGTTATGAAGTTTTAGGATGAATAATGTGGCTCTTAATGTCAACGATGGACACTCTGATAAACAAGTAGAAGAAAGTGTGGTTGGATAAGGAAATTATTAATAACAATTATTGTTATCTTGGACTCAGTAATTCTCCATTAGAACTGAACAGTTATGATGAACAGATGCCAAAAATACATGCTCCCTCTCTTTATTATACACTTTCAAGTTCTAACAGGGAACGTTTTGAATCATTTTGTTGTCAGAATGTATCAAATACATGTTTAATCCACAAACCAAAACTCAAATGAACTACAAACCCCCATCCCCCACAAAAAATAAAATAATAATAAATAAAACCATTAACAACGCTGTAACAGAGCTATAAAATGTTCTGAATGTATATACGTGGTAGAATACATGTTTGAAGCAGTTATATAAACTAATGAAAATAGTTTTGCTTTCCAGGAAGACAATTTTAATTATTTGTTTTGCAGGGACTTCATGCTTCATGCATAATATTTAATGGTTTGTGTTTGATTCAATGAGATATAACATTTTCAAAAAATGTTTAAACATTATTATATGCATGTATTACAGAGCAAATATTTAACACAAAACAGCTTATGTTTATAGCTGGTTTGTGTTAAATGTTGGCTCAGTAATGCACTGCCACTGTGTGGTCAGACCTGGCATCATTTGTACTTTAGAGGAGACAAACAGCACAAAACTGTTTTGTCATTTTTACACATTAAAAAATAGATAGCTCATAACATAGATTTAATATATTTATTCAGGCCACAAGCTGTGCAGTATTCAGACTCCCAACCAAGCGGAGTAATGTCAACAGAAACATGCCAAGACATTTAACAATCGCATAAACTATAATTATTCATGACATGTTCCTGAATATTTTCCCTTTTTTGAAAATGGAGACATTTTTATTTATTTTTGTTTTTTTTTGTTAATTGTTTTTTAATGTAATTGCTAATCAACTGAACAGCATGGTGGATCAGTTGGTAAAGATATTTAAAGAAAATTCTCAGTGGTTGATTGAGGATTTTATATTTCATATCCTACTCTAAACTCTTAATTGTTTAGGATAAACTCAATAGAAGATGGGGCCATTTATTCTCTGGATTTTGCACAAAAAAAATATTTAGCATTTCAAAGTCAGCTTACAGGCAGCAAAGTGAAATAAAAAAAAAAATATTCAAACACACCTTGATGCAGTGGGCAGGGTAGTCATCATCCAACAAAGGATGATGGTCATCACCGTAGTAAAGTTTGCTGATGACTCTGTCATCCTGCCCCTTCTCAGCAGTGATGACCCCCGGGCCTGTGCTTGGGGTCATCACTGAATGGTGTGAGTCTTCCTTTTTAAAGTTTAATGTTTCTAAGACAAAGGAGATGGTCATTGATTTCAGAAAAAGACTCTTCAGTTGCAACTCCTGTGGTCATTAATGGTGACGCCGTTGAGATGGTGCATCATTATAAATATCTGGGAACTGTTCTTGATGACAAACTGACCTTTGACCCCAATGTGAACTCACTTTTTAAGAAGACCCACCAGAGAATGTATTTTTATCGGAATCGCTGTGGTTTAAATGTTGATTCTACTTTTATGAGAATGTTTATTCATGTTTTATTGAGTCTTTTTTAACTTTCACCTTCATCTGTTGGTTTGGACTTTTGACAAAAACACGAACAAACTCTTGGGGATTGTCAAGATGTGCAGCAAAACTGCTGGCATAGCCCTACAGAACCTCACTGACCTACACAAGGTGAGGTCAGTGAACAAGATCAGACTGATTCTGGCAGATCCTGATCACCACTCCACGGTGAGTTCAGGTTGCTTCCATCTGGACGCAGGTATCTGCAGCCCAGATGTACCTGTAGTTCAAACAGACTGAAAAACTCATTCATCCCTGTAGCGATCAGGCTACAGAGATGACAATGATCAACAATGACTTCTGTACTGTTTTTTTAACATCTCAATGTCTTGTCTAGTATGGATGTTTTTGTGTGCCTACTTGACTGTGAAACTAATTGCCCCCCGGGTATAATAAAGATTCTTGAACTTGAAAGGGTCGAGGATTGGATCCCCATCCCCTGCAACTTGCTGACATGTCAGCGGGCAAAACACTGAAATGCCCCGCTGCCCCTTGATCGACTGGAGGATATAAAAAAGATGTTCAAGCTCATTTGAAGTAACTGCATATTTTTATTGTGTTAATCAAAACAAAACAAAAAAAATCTGACATGACATTTCACAAAAACCCGGGAGTATGACAGTGCACCACGTTACCTTTGGCCTTTAACCTCAAACTTTCAGCTACTAACTTCTTTACATGCCACTGTTTCTTTGCCATTACAGACAGAGTTCTGATCCCCAAAAAACACTAAAAACACTAATGCACAGACACAAATCAAGTAAAAGTTTCTCTCTTCCCACACACACACGCACACAAACACACACACACACACATGCTCACAACACTTCTCCCTGTGAGCTACAGATTAATGGTGCATCACATGACGTAGACTGTAACAGAAGTTTGACTCAGAGGGCGGTTTATACAACGACTTGAAGTGGACACTGTCTTGATGAAGAGTTCCTGCAGTAAAACATTGGGGATGTGTCTTTGAACATGAACGACATACATGAAAATCTATTTATAAAGGAAAATAAAACTCCACCACACATATCAGCTTATCTTTGCACATAAATACATACAAATAAAAATAATAATAATAATGATATCAACATTGTGCTTTCTTTACCTCGCTCGTTCTAACATCCCCCCACCAAATGTATTAGCCACAAACCTTAGACATGCAAATTTAAGCACAGAAAGCAACAGCTGTCCTAAAAGGGATACTCAGTTTGACATCACAGCCAATGTGAATATTTTTTACACTGAAGCAAAGAAATATTAAAAGTAATCACTATAATGCCTAAATTAGCATAGTAGTCCTAACTCAGTTTGCTTTGAGGTTTAACTGAAGGTGTGCACCGATCAATAGCATCTTTGAGCAATTAAACTGGATTTATTATCATTTTGTGTCTCATAATGTCTTGTTTGTGATGTCAAAATGTAAAGTGTCCCTTTTAAAAGGAGTCAGTAAGTTCAGTTTAGTTCAAAAAGTTAATTACACATCTATAAAGAAGGTATATAAATAACAATGACAATGATATTATACATCTAAAATCCACACATAAAACTGGTTTGTGCTGCTTTTCTTTCAGCCGGGGTCTCTGTGAAGTCATGAACGCGCCACTATTCTTAAAACCATGATTCTGTAGTGAGAACAGCACAAAACAGATAATATACTTAACATAAAAGTCACATGATGACTGCAAAACACAAATGCATGGTTTACAGACCCACCAGTTTCTTTTGTGCTGACAGACTGAAATATTAAAGTCTCTTACCACAGATAGGCTCTTTATTCAAGCCTGTACAAACATTGAACACTAGGGGGCAGACTAAACACACCATGTTAGACAACCAACACGATTTCTTTACACAGAGTAAAACTAAACTAAGACATAGAAAAGGAAGACCTTAATAGTACTAACTGTACACTTTGTAGAGATGTCATCCCTAAGCAGCAAAAGTCAATGATCTAAAATGTCTGTAACACTACACGAAGAGTGATTACAACAGTGTTTGAGTTTTTTTTTTCCTTTTTGCAAATGTGGCACTGTGAGTGGCACCTGGTGCAGCATTTTACTGTGCTGAACTACAAATCTCAAATTACACGCTTCATATCACTTGCATATTTATTTATTACAAACACTTTATGCAAGAACAGAGAAAATGAAATTAAGTACGCTATGGATACAAATAAAGAGTCTCACTCATAAATATCATGCTAATTTATATATATATATACTGTACTCTAGCCCAGAAACAGCGGTTGTCATAGTCTGAATTTAATGAAACCTTTCATCTTCCTCCTGGTCCTGCTTATTTTAATAATGTCTACACCCTAAAATCACTGTGTTTAGCATTTCTCCATATGATCAATGCACAGCGTAATTGAGCACAGCAACTTTTTTGACTTTTGTTTTTAGAAATGAAGTTTAAGATTGTGTCAAAGCTTGTTTTCCAATTGGTAAAACCACATCAAACTGTCACTTTTTCAGTTTGAGGATATCTAATTTGGTTTTGTTGATATGTCATTGTGTTTCTTCTGGCTTTGACTGAGTACTGTAAACTTTTATTCTCTCTTGTATCGCGGAATGCAAGTACATGTTCTACTACTCACTCATTAGTGGTTTTAACTAACGAGTAAACGTAATGAAAACAGACCAGTTTTGAATTTTCTTTAACCATGGCCACCTTCTTAGAAATGATGCTGTGCTATGCCACCATGTGCCTAAGGAAATAGTTTTAAATATTAAAAACCATCACATTTTGCAACATACTCACTTTCCACTGGTGCTGGCTTCTATTTATAAATGAACTGTGTATTCCACATTAAAAACATGTAAAAAGTGGCATTTATGGAAATATGTGCACCTAGAGGGCCACAGGAAGTTGATCTGATGATCAACGAATCAGGTTTTCAAAAAAGGTTAACGCACATCTGGGTCCAATTAAACATAAATAGTTTTGTTTTCATTTTTTTCCCCAGTTAGAGACCATAACCTTTAAACATGTTCCATTTGCCACATTTCTGTTGAGTCTGCCATGCTGGTGTAAAATCTTCAAATACAAATATCTTAAGTGATCCAAACCTTTGGGACTCTCTTGGGTTGGTGTAGTCTTGGAGAAAAGGTGAGCCGCTCATTAACTATGTAAGTTGTGTAGCTGTGTCTGTGATGTGAGATGGGAAAAGCTTTCCGAGTGCTTGCTTTTACTTTTCTAGTGAAACAGTGTAAAGAAATTGTACAGAATCAGTTTGGGCTGTAAGGCAGCACATGCAGGAACTGGTCAGAGGGATGGAGACTCAGGAAACAGTGGACCTTATAGTGGTGGCATCCATAGATAACATAGAAAGTACTGTGCATGTGTGTATCTGTATATGTGAACACTTCCATGAGTTCTTGGTCTCTCAGTCTCTTTCTTTCGTTCTCCTCTTCTCATTTCTCCCTCCATCTCTTGCTCCATAGCGTTACTCCCCTGCACTGCGTGGCGACCGTGGATTTGGTTTCCCATCATGGGTCCTGCGGTTTCTCCCCTTTCTGATCTCCTGGAGATGCTTCCACTTCTTGTTTGCTGGCCGGACATCAGGAGCCAGGGGCAGCGTGTCCTTTCTTGCAGAAGCAGGGTAATTCTTTGACACCTGGTCACTGTTGGCGTTCTTTCGTGCCCAAACTTGCTCACAGATCTGGTCGACAGTGTTGAGGTTTGGGTGGTCCACTAGCTGCATGAAGTCCCGGTACCAGAACTTTTGATTGGTTACTGAGGAACCGCCTCCGCTGCGAGGATCTAATCGTACAGGAGCATCAGAGGGTAGATTTGAGATGGAGGAGGGCGTTGAAGGTACAACTTCTAACGTGATGCCCAGTAATGTTTGGGTGAAACCATGCTCCATGGCGTGGCACTGGTAGACTCCGTTATCCCTCTTCAGGACTCGGCGAATCAGGAGGCCTCTGTCTGTCTGGAGGATGCGTTCATCTAGACGCACCTGGAGAGAAGCAGTATGAATAAGCAATGTTTGCTGCTATTGTTTTGTTCCATTGAGTAAATAAAACTTCCAGTGTCAAATTAATATCTTTGAGACAAGAAAAATTAAAAATCTGTTTAAAATATTTCGACTGTCTGACAATTACAAATCTTCAAAACAGTCATTTGCACTTTGTGCTCATTTGACAAATCACTTTTGTTGTTGTTGTTGTTGTTGTTGTTGTTGTTAAAGACGATTAAAACAATATTTTGACCTTGGACAACTTCAGTAGTAAAGATGTTAGTCTTCATCTCTCATCTGCTTGCCTGCTCACCTCTTCTCGTGGGTTTTGTGGATGTTTCTGGTAGGTCCAGGTGACTTTGGCCTGAAGAGATTTAGGGATACACTCCAAGAAAGTGCTGCTACTCTCAACTCCATACAGCTTCCTCTCTGCAACGCGAGGCTTATGGTGGTCTGCAGGGGGCAGCAGAGACACGTTTTTCATGACTGCCAGTAAGGGCCTGCTAAAAATATACAAGCACTGCAGGACTTGAAAACAGCAGAAATATAATGTGGTAATTTTGACAAAACAAACTGGATGAAAAACAAACACATTTTCTTTAATGTACAAATATTAAAAGGGCATCACAAGAGAATTGTGACACATTATTTGATAGAACAATAAAAACGTCACCAATTATTTACAAAAACTCCCGTATGGTTGATATGATGGCATCTTCTCTGCTTCACCTGACCGTTTCAGCACATGTTTAATGGTCTCTTTTTGAACAAAAAATAATTATGCACTTGTGGATGTTGCAGAAAAACTAACAGCGTGATAAAGTAAATAGTTTTAAGCCCTAGAGACAAAAAATGTAACCTGCCAAACAGACTGATCAGTAATTTGAAGCCAGGCCAGTCACATCTGAGACAATTACTCTGACCTTCATTAGTTTTTCTCAGCTCAGCTCGCATGCCACATGATGTAATCGTATTACCCAGGAGCTCTTTCAGATCGAACGATTAGCCTGATTTAGCCGTGTGGCATAAAGAAAGGATTGGGGCAAAAATGCCTGAATATGGCTCGGGTGGACAAACGGAGATGGAGAAGTATTTTGGTTGTTTTTCCATGAGATGTACAATTTCTGCAATTCAATGCAGGATCAAGTTGCTTTATATTGTTATTTGAATATAAAATGTTCAACAGTCTGCCTTTAAAGCCACTTTAAGCCACCAGAGACTGACTGCTTTACTTGAAAAATGAATTCAATAGTATTTTTAATCATTACTGTATACTGTATAGTACAGTAATCTTACCACCGGAGCAGAGGGTGTTGGGATCTCCATTCCTCACATCTTGACGACGAAAGCGCCTGAAAGAAAGTTTCATTATTCATTCCAGGAGTAGTTTGTTTTACTTGTGCACATATTCTTCATCATCTTCTTTGTACTGAGAGTTGATTGTATATAAATGTATCACAAACCTTTTAGTGTTTGGCAGGTATCGAGTGCAAGACGTTCCATCCCAGGCACAGTATGGGTCTCGGGCCAGGCAGCACTCGGCGCAGGCCTTCCCATAAACGCTGCAGCGATGAAGAGGAACCTGAGCGATGCCTGTGTCCGAGCCGACGTACAGCTGTTGCTGTGAGAACACACAGAGAGGAGAGGGAAACTTTAAAAAAAGGCCTTTGGGAATGTGTGCTTATCAGAGTTAGAAACAGCTTTGGTTGTTATCTGTCTCGTAAATCTAAACATGCAGTCCTCTGTGATTGTGACATGGAAAATGTATGGAGCCTCCAGGTGATGTTGAGTTTCCAACAGTCTCCAACAAAATATTTGTCCAGGATGTGGTTGTTCACATGTGGGAAGATTATCAGGTCAGCTTTATTTTTCCACAAAAATATTTCAAGGTAAAATAATATTTGTTCAGTTTTAAGTTTTTGGTCGTTTTGCCTTTAATTCCATGATTTAGCATTTTGTGCATCTGGTTTTGACACAATCAGCTGGATTTTCAGTTTTTTATTTTGTATTCTTGTATTTCCACCGTTTCTTCCCTCACACCTTCTCCTGCCTTGCTGAAGTTGTCACCTACATCGTGTAAGGCATCATCCTGCCTCCGTATAATTGCTTTTTGGTTTCTTTGCTCTCTGCTGCATCCGTCTTTTTGCCACTTGGTTCAGCTTTGCTCTTTTTTCTGTTTTTGACGTTGAGTTATGATGGGATCATCAGATTTGGTTTTAAAATTAAATCGTTCCGTTATGTCTTGCTATGACTTCAGTTTTCATTTCTTGACAAAATGATCCAACAGGGGCAGCACGGTGGCGCAACTGGTAGAGCTGCTGCCTCTCAGCGAGCAAACCCCTGGTTCAAACCCCGGTCCAGGGGCCTTTCTGGGTGGAGTTTGCATGTTCTCTCTGTGCATGCGTGGGTTTTCTCCGGGTGCTCCGGTTTCCTCCCACAGACCAAAAACATGCATGTTAGGCTGATTGGTAACTCTAAATTGTCCCTAGGTGAGAGGGAGAGAGTGAATGGTTGTTTGTCTCGTTTGTCTCAATGTGGCCTTGTGATGGACTTGCGACCCGTCCAGGGTGTACCCCGCCCCTCGCACAGTGATTGCTGGACATGGGCACCAGTGACCCCCGTGACCCAAACTGGAATAAACTGGTAAAGATAATGGATGGATGGATGATCCGACAGCGTTTTGAAGGTCAGTTTTCCATTAAAATATGCAGAGAAATAAATGTTTTCCTGTGGGATTTTGAGAGCAAACTTACACGTTTGGAGGATATCTGCATGTTGATGACAGATGAGGCATCCTAAAAAAAACAGAAGATGTGGCAGATTAGCACATTTTGTTTGTACTGCTACTTGAAAAATAAAGGCCTCCTTGCAATAAAATCATATTATTATGCTTTAAGGAAATAATTTTGTTAATAATCTTATTCTTGCTTTTTGTTATATTTCACATATAAGGAAAATCCAAAGAAGTCAGTGATGTTCCTGTTTAGCCAGAAACGTCCCAACAATATTATCAATTGAATTAGAATACTAGAGGAAAGTCCTGCAGCTTCTTCTTTGACAATGCTTAATGCGTTTTCTCTTAAAATAGTGCATGCTTAATTTAAAAATAAATCACCAAATAGTGCAACATTTTCCATTTATATTGGTTAAAAGTCTCTAATGCTTGGACCTCACACTAAATTCTAATCAATGGGCATACAGTGCAGAATTTTTAATAAAAATATGTAAATTTTTAAGTATTCTTACTTTGAATACTTCAAGCTCTTCTAGTAGAAGTTCTTCCATGTTGTTCCAGCTCTCTTTGGGAACACTGATCACCTTTAGCACCGTTCCTTTGTCTGAAATGACATGCAAAATTATTCACTATCATGTCACTATTACTACAAACATATGTCACGTTAAAACAATTAGTTTTTGTACCTGTGCCAATGAACATGACATCATATTGTCCATCTGCAGCGTTGACTCTGTCCACAGCGATCTGCGTGAAACTGTAGTCCACATTGGTTCGAACAAAGATGGGCCGTCGGCCCACAGGGTAGACGGGGTTGTACATCAGAGGGTGGTGGCGTGCAAACTGGATCACATCATCTGGGAAACCCTTTGTGGACTCAAAGCTGCCAAACGTCTTGCTGGGACACTGGTGTGGGAAAGAAAAATGAAGTGAGATATTTAGATTTTAAAACTGTAATGCTGTTAAGCTGAAACTTTTCTGACTATCAGGGTTTATTTGTTGTTGATGGTGGACACAGACTGAGCATTCATCTCAGATACATTTTACCATGCTTGAACTCATCCATTCCACAGTAATGTTTAGTTGCTGAGTACAATTGTTTCCCTCACCACATGAAGAATAAGATGTCTGAATGTGCATTTCAGCTGGCCTGAAACCCATTAATCCCCAGTCAAGCAGGCCACCATGAAGTCATATTAGCGTGATTGGTTAAAGAGATTTGCTCCAGTTCAAAGTCCAGTTTCTCTCATTAAAATTCCAGTTCTGGATTTCCTCAATGCTCAGGTGCACTTTGGTAGCTTGTGACAATTTTAAATCTGTAGTCTATTTAAGTTATTACCTTTTTATTTGCTTTTTTTATTAATACAAAGTAATTTGATGTATTTATAAACATAACATTTGTTATATGCATATTATATTTGGGGGAGTGGTGGCGCAGAGGTTAGAGAGGTGGGCCTGTGATCCGAAAATCGCCGGTTCACGCCCCGGCCCCAACAACATCAAAATTGTGGGTGGGGTAGGTGAAACACTCACACTTGCCCCCACCCTCATTCGCCCCACTCTGGGCCCATGAGCAAGGCCCTTAACCCCAACCATGTGCTCCCTAAACAGGTCTCTCTTGAAAATGAGTTCTCGTGGCTCAATGAGACTAACCTGGATAAATAAAGGCTAAATGAAAAAAAAAATGAAAAAAATATAGAGTTTGCTTAAGATATTTAATCTGATTTGTGTATTTAAAACATGATGTACTGTAGTAGTGTGACATAATATTGCACAATTTATTCTTCATCTAAAATGTGATGTTTTCTTTTTATTTGCCAATTTTAGTCCAGTGTGGTGATAAATGTGAAAGTAGGGTTACTGAAAGGCAAATGCATTTACTTTTCTGCTGTAATACAATGGGGATTGTTCTACTGCTGCAGTACCAGCCAAGTTCAGCAAAATAACAAATCCTGCTGACCCAACATCTGTGTGCTTAGCAGAGTGTAAAAGCTGTGACACTGATTGGGAAGAATGTGGAAAAGCTTAGTTAAAAAACAAGGTATTTTACTGTAGACGTGAAGTATTGACTTGAATTAATTTACATACTGCATCATGAATAGATCTGTGTCAGAACTATGAGTAGACACATCCAGAGGTACTGAACTGCAGTACAACTGCAAAGCAAGGCATCAATATTTTTGGACTGCAGTGTATTTTTCAGTATTTCCTTCAATTCTTTAGCTACGTTAAAAATCTCTAGAACTTACATAATACATTGCTGATATGTTATAGAATTGCAGCCCTCATTGTCCTGGTTTAGCTTACATGAATCTGCTGTAAAATATAATTAAATGTTGAGGTGTTCTACACCACATTTTTTGTTCTTGTCATTAATCGGCAAAGACAATGTTTAAGCAGTGACGCAGACAAAGAAGACAACTCAACAACAGTCATTTTTAAAGCTCTGTGAGGCTGTTGCCCTATTAAAATAATATTTTTATAGATATTTATTGTATAGGTCATCATAAAAAACTTCCAATTACAAAAATCAAAGATACAATCAGTGATGGTGTGATTAAATGTAAGATAAGGTTTCAGAAAACACGTTAGACATGGATAAATAGATCAATTATTTTGAGGATGCTCAACTTTGTTCTCTCTAAACGTGCTGCAATTGTTAGTTTTCATAAGCAATAAGCACATACCATTCCTGGCCGGGGATAGGGTACTTTTCCCTGGAAGGGGACCCACTGGTAGTTGGGCCCCTCTTTGTGAGCGAATGGCCCCAGGAAGGCCCTCCGGATGTCATTCATGGAGTAAAGACACACTGCTGAGCCTTTAAACACACTGCTGCTGGGAACAACGGGAGCAGGGTTAGTTACAACAAACACACACGGAACATGCATGCACATTGTTTTCTTTGTTGTCACTCTGTCCTGCACATACGCACACATGCATGTGCGCATGAACAAACACATATGGTTTGAACAAACGGACCTGGAAGTAGAAAAGACTGTGTACACCAGCGGATTCTTTCTGTCCCTCGTCTGCAGCAGGAACACATCGCCTGAGGATGGACACACACAGACATTTGAGTCAGGTGGCAGTAGCCGAGAGGTCAAAGGTTAGGAAAAAGATAAACTAAACCCTATGGACATGTCTAACTGCTTTAATAAAGTTTTTTACTGATTAGTAAGGGTCGTGACATGGAACTAAATCCTCTGCAGCTCAATACACTGAATAGTAAACAACATTTTAACAAAGATTTGTCCTATTTGTGGTACACTTGACAGTATTTTTGACGGCAAAATTATTTTTTTAACCTTATTTTTTTCTTTTTTGACAAAATGGGGATAAAAAAAAGGGAAAGCTTTTTTTGACTGATGCAAAAATGTTTGAGTATTCAATGGTAAAATAAAAAATATTAGCTTATTATGCACATATTTTTACTACAAGATCTCTCCTTGGCCTCAGGTGCTGTCAAAAACTCATTGCTGGGATAAAAAAAAAAAAAAAAAACCTCCTGAAGAAATGTGACTGACAGATGTAGCCTAAAGTGGGGTCAAAGTTTGAACCGTCTTCCACTTAGTTAACCTTTCACTGTGTCATGAGATGAGCACAAAGGCAGATTATATTATTGCCGTCAGAACAAAACAGACAGATCTACCAACAACATCTTTACTTATCAACTCCTGCAGCTGTTGGTTAAATCTCGTGAGGTTGGAGAAGGATTATGTAACAAGAGGTAACAAGAGGTACTATCTTCAAAAATTCAATAAGGCTTTGAGAAAAAGCCTTTTTCAGACTGAAGTAAACATAAAAACTAAATTTGTTTTCAGGGTGAATAAAATCAATGGTGAAAGAGAAAAAACAAGTTCCTCGTTCAACCGTCTGTTTTGCCTTTTCATCAGTTTTAATCAGTTTTAAAAGGTTTGGACAATAAATTGTGCTGCAGAATAATTTTGGAATAACAGTTCTATAACGACAAATGTAAGGCCAACTATCACTTTTTTAAATTAGTTGGAAATTAATTTTTCATGTCAGGTGGTGTGTTTAAAAGTAGTTTAGTTTCCTGACTAACCAGTTTCACCTCACATATTTAGTAATGCTGTGTTATGTTTTCGTTTCATTGCACAGTAATATTTATTAATAGGCTGTTTGAATAGTATGAGAGGCCATTTAGGCCTTAATTTATTCTTGCTTTCACGTTCACCATCAAACCCTCTCACGTTCCTTAAACTTACGCAGCTCATCGAAGTATGTATCACTGCCATCAGATCCTGGTACAGAGCAAATTAAACGGGTCTTGAGGAACGTCGTCCACTTGTTCACCAGACTTCGTTGACCACCCATGTCATTCTGACAAGATAAAATGTTATTGAATAAGACATGAAGCATCCATTTGTTTTTGATTGAATAAACATCAGCATCCAGAATCTATTTTTAATCGCACATTAAAACTATTTCTTTGTGAGTATGACCTGATTTATTATTTAAACACTGATGTTTTTTTTTTTAATACTTTTGATATTTTTGTCTTGTTTATCTAAAGTAGTAGACTTGGCTGGTCAAGTAATCTCTCACTCTGCACAGCTGTCCGATTCGAGAGTACGTGGACTTTCCCAGACCCTGGGCCTCAACCGCTGTTTCCCGGAAGAAGAAGAAGATCTTGTCATCATCAGGATTTTCACTCTCAGGGACCCAAAAGGAACCAACAAACTTTGGCTCTGGTTGAATGAAAAAAAAAACAACAACAAAATAAAAACAGTGTAATGTAATGCAGCATTTAATTTCAATGATAGGTATATTCATTTTTACTGAACTTGATTGAATCAGTTAAGGCCTGACATGATCCATGAAATAGAAAAGGCCATACACACCATTGAGCCAGCGTGAGTCGTGTTGTTCGGTACGAATCGAAGGACGTTTCCCCAGACTCCTGAAGATAGTGTAGTCCCGTCCCATTAGGTCTGTAGCAACACCTGCATAAAGTTCATCACCTGGGAGACAAATACGTTGACATCAGGTCCAATGATATGCCAGTCTCTTAAAAACATTAAAGAAATTATCTATCAAAATAACAAATATATATATATATATATATATATATACTTCACGGTTAGACTTTCACAAGCTAAAATTTTTTGCGGGTTTTCAACGTAAGATCGTACACAACACATGAATGTCAACTTTAATATTACGTATTACATTACATATTAATAATACAAAAAGACCTGAGGCTCTCGACCTTGACCTCTCTAAGTGGCTTTAAAAATCTGTTGGACTCCTGGCAAGGACCAATGCAGACATGTTCCTGTTTTTAGTTTTCTTCATTCGCTTTATAATCTAGCTGTTTTTGTTACTTTTTTTGCCATCTTATTTGTAAAAAAAATAAAATTAAAATAAATAAATAAATAATCTGTATGCCTTTTTTATAACTGTCTATTGTTGTCCATTGTTGTCATCATTCTTTGTTGAAATCAGGTCTCTCTTGTAAACGAGTCCTCGAGGCTCAATGGGATTTACCCGTCTAAATAAAGGTTGAATGAAAAATATTACACATGTAATTGGGATGGTACGGGATAAAAAGTTAACGGGAGCGGACAGGAGCGTGAACCAACTAATAGGATAAAAAAAACTAAAACAACCAAAAAAACTTCAGACAGGTGCCGCCATTTTGTAGTTTTCTTTCAGTAAGCCTATACTGTAACGCAAGTCAAAAGAACTACATGGCCCAAAGGCCAACAGTGCTTCCGGCTGCTGCTTTCTGCCGAAATTCAAAGAAGAGCAATGGAGGGAGCAAACACTAGCAGAGAAACTGATGTGGTAAAAATAATTTTGCAACGCAAAGTCAGAAGTAACAATCTATTAAGCTCACAGAACTGGCAGGCAAGCTGCAAATAATCCTGAAGTTGAACTCATCCTTCAAGCTGTAATAGTATCTTCACTGGTGAGTACTCCTAAAATTTTGCAGTACTGTACTGTACATACATGCATGTTGTTAAAATTACAGATTTAGAAGTTTAGCACATTGCAAGAGTGTGGGAAGAGTTTATAAAGCCTTAAAATATATATACTAAAATAAATATAATGTCCCTACTTTGCGGATTTTCACACATTGCGGGGTTGTCTGGAACGTACCCCCACGATAAGTGAGGGACTACTGTATATATATATATATAGGAAGAAAGTAATAAAGAATAATCAGCTCAAGTTAATGTGGTAACAGGTAAGTAACAGGTTCAGTTACCGATGAGCACAGATGCAGCGTTATGTCGAGGATCATATGGACTCTTTCCTTTCCCGTCCTCCACTTTAGAAGGGTCAATCCGGAACACGTGGTCCTGATGTTGAGCAGGAGCAGAATCAAAAGCCTTTGGTTATGCTACAGTTTGCAAGTGTGATTAATCTGCTGAAAGCCAAATATCAACTTTTGTCTTGTTGTAAAATAAAAAAAGTAGTGTTTTAATTCACTCTCACGTGATATTAACATGAGCTAAATGTTGGCATCTGTAAAATGCATCTTTTTCTGATTACATCAAGATGTACGTATCTGAACGAAGTGCAACGTGGTGATGTTTTGCTTCAGTACATTCCTCACCTCCATCTTATTTCCCACCTCCACAAAGGCACAAGTAGGATGAAAGGCCCCAGTTCCGCAGGCGTATAGGTGGGTGCGGTTATAGTGGTGCACAATCTTCACATAGTTCACACAGTCCGACTGAAACACACACACACATAGAGACGGTGTCATTTTAGCTACGTCTGGGAACATAAAGTGGGATACTTTTCTTTTGTGCCAACGTGTTTGTTGCTAATCCAATAACAAAGAATAACGAAGAACATGTAAAGAGTGACTCCCTGTGAATTGTACCGTGCTAAACATGGATTTTCTGTCCCTTGGTTTAGTGACAAACATTCCTCACATAACTCTTCACTCTCTGGCTGTGACAACACAGTGAAGTCTTTGGATCCATGTCCAGCACTCTGTTTTGACACTCTTTGTGTCCGGCTGGACACACACATTCCTTCAGCATTTGTTCAAAGGAATTTAAAGGACTATTAGCAGAATGGTTGTTTCAGATTACATGCTTTAAACTGAAATATTTGCTATAGTTTCAACTGAGATTACTTGGTTTTATATATATATATATATATATATATATATATATATATATATATA